TAACAAAATCTATTAAACCACCAAATTATCATAATTAAATATAGAAAATATTGTATCCATTATAGTTTAATCACTTGTTCGATTTTTTTATTTTATTTCAATAGATAGTATAATTGTATATTAATAATAAATATTTAAGATATATAAACACTGAAAATTGAGTTTGTACCTACGTATCACTTATTTTTTTAGTTTTATATATTGTGTCAAAAAACTAAATAAGGGGTCAAACTGTAATAGACACAATATCTTATATTTTTGATTGAGATAATTTATAAATTCTATTAGTTTCATAACTAATAATGGGTCTAAGTATAATATTTCAAATTTGAGTAAGTTAAGTATTACACGTCTATAAACGTTTACGGGGCTAGGCTGTAATTTACTAATAGATATATTAACGTACATCGATGACAAGGGTCTAAGTGATACACGAATACAAACTTCACGAGGTTTGTATGTAATATTTTAAATGTCATAAATTTTAGTGATTAAGTGACAAATTTTTAAAAAAAAATTGTACACATCAACTAATATTATTTACAATATAGTAAAAGACATATCATTTATACCGATATTAAAGTATTAATTAATGATAAATCTTTCATATCTCAACTCTAAAGAGTTGTCAAAATTTAAAATCAATATGTCTAATTTTTTTATCAAAAAAAATGTCTAAATTTGCCTCCCATTCCTCTTACCCATTGAATTATTTCATTGAATTTCAATTCTTTCATTTTTTTTGTGAATGTGGTGATTTTTTTTTTTTTTTGCCAATACAGTGTTGAGTCTTACCCTATGTTCCATTTACTAAAAATAAGTGTTATTTGGATAAAAAGTATTGGTATCATTTGTTGATTATATCCATGACAATCATTGAATAAATAATAAATCTAAATAAATATGGAGCCTTATACTTAAATCGATGAAAGTGAAATTAAAAATCTTTTGTCCAAGTAATATTGTTGCTTCCCAAATGTAGGACCCATTGCCTAGCGAATGATAATGAGGACCAGTAGTGGAGAGTGTTGGTTAAGTTTATGTGAATTCCAAGTCATTTAGCTAACTTAACTCACTCTTTGTTAGGTGGTGATTAGCCACTTACCCTTTGACGGTTCCTTGCTGGTGGGCCTTTCCGTGGAAATTTGGAGACGGGTCCGGGATTGGTGGGGATGGGTCATAAATGCTAGGAAACTTTAGCGGGGAGGACAGATACGGTCCACTTTCACATTTTGTCTATTGTATTTTCAATACCTTATGAAGTCAATAGATCACATCAAACTTTTTATTTCATTTAAATTAGGCCGAATTATACTTTATACCCTGAAAATTTTTAAGAATTTTATTTTATCTTCTCAAATATTAAATTTTTTATATTACACAATCAATATATTAAAAATGTTGTAATATAACTCTTATGTTAATTTTTTTGTCAGTGTCAATGGATTCACTTTTGACCAAAAAAATAACAGAAATTAATAAAATGGTCAAATTGTAATACTTTTGATATATTGATGGTACAATATGAAAAATTTAATATTTAAAAGTGTAAAGTCAAAATCTTGAAATCTTTTGGACTCTAAAATGCGAAAAAAAAGAAGCTTTTAAGTCATCCTACTAATTCCGACTTATTGAAGAACCATAGTAATCAAATAAAATACTTACTTTATATTGTATTTGTGATGACCTAACCACGCACGATTTGCTGAGAAACCAAACTAAATAAAATCTAAGGAACAAAAAATGATTATAATAAAGCTTTGACTTGTGTGAAATCATGTTTAACAGATAGAATTAGAGAGTATTATTGTAAATTTGATATTATCTACTTGTTATGGGAAAAAAAAATATTGGTCTTATTTGTTTTTGTTTTGTTTTTTTTGGACCAAGCAGTTAACAATGATCGCTCTACCACTGATCTACTGAAGAACAACAGCCTTAAAGAAGTTGACTCTCATTCTTTATATCAATTTATGACCGAACAAAAATGAGTTCTACGTAAGTTGCCGGAGTGTTAGGTAATAGCACGGAGAGATTACCTAACCCTCCAACAACAGTTAGCTCGTGTGAGTTATCACATGGGGTGGCTACCACTTTGTTCAAATTTGCCTTCCATGTATCTTCCCAGATTCAAAAACAAAAGATGTATTTTTGTCAAATGTTAATTAGCAATTAGGTAAGAGCTTGAATGATTCTCATTGTGGTTAACTGGTGACTGACAGCCGAGACACGAGAGTGGGGTATTCTGAAAAATTTCATCGATTTTTATAGGGTTCTGATCAAATTATAAGAAATAATGGGTTTTGTAAAATTTTAGTTTATTCATTCAGATGGCAGCTTGAGTAATAATAAAAATGAATTGTAAATTTAGACATTCTGAATTTTAATCTTCACAATTCTTTGGGGGTAGACCATCAAGATATATTTCAGTTTTGGCGTGGATGACCAAACTTTGATCTAAGCGGAGAGAGAGAGAATTAGTCAAAGAGCTCGTAAGTTGGGCCGAATATCCCTAACCGTTGAATTAAAAAAAAAAATGAGGCAATCACATGAATTATATGAAAATTTGGGAGAGAAAATACTACTTTTTCATAGATCAAATAATCTTGATATATAGAAGGTTGAAATACAAACACGCGGCCTCACCCAATCAGTAATGACTTGGGCCTATTCAGGCCCAAGTCTGTCAAAACTAAACTATCTTGGACCCTTCATTCTCGAACCCCCAAGAATGAAAAGCCTCTTGATGGCCCAAAAATTGTACCTAAATAACAAAGATAACTATTATTCATGGGGCAAAATAGAAAACGGAGAAATATTGGGGTCAAAAGTGTAAAATAGAACATATCTTTCTTTGCTTCTGGTTTACAGCTCTCCCTGCCGTGGAAACAGCCTCCGTGAAAGAAGCCATCGTAGGCCAGAGAGAGACAGAGAGAGAGAAGGGTTTCATACACTTCAAGTCAAGGTAAGTCCATATTCAAAACCCTCCATAATGATCAACGCAAACCCCCCCATTTTCCTCTCATTTATGCTCCAATTTATCGCATTTTTTAACTTCTAGATCTTCATGTTTCAGATCTTTAGCTGTTTATGTACATTCAATCTTAAATTTTGTAAACCAATTTCATAAATTGTTTATTTATAAGCCCCTTTACGATTATCAGTGGTGCTGAGATTAATTTACTGGATGTGAGGTAAGGTAATATATGGAGTGATTCTTTCATAGGTTTTGTTTGGCTCGACTGATATTATCTCCGGTTTTTGAAGATTGATTTTTTTTCTGACGCTGAATGGAAATAGACAACTCTACAGAAAAAGTTAGCTGAGAAATGTTAACCGAATCCTGTTACAGGGAAAAAAAATGTCTTACGAGGTTTAAGGAGTAACGATGGTATTTTGTGTCAAACTTTAAAGCATTTCTCTCTCAATATTAGTCGTTTCTGGGGGTTTAAGGATTAACGATGGTATTTTGTGTGAAACTTTAAAACATTTCTTTTGCAATATTAGTCGTTTCTGGGTTGGGGGAGGTATTATTTACCTGATAATTAGTATCTTTAGTTGCGAGAAAGAAAGAAGGAAAATCTTGGACACAAACCATTTTTGGATTCTGATGAAACCGAAGGAGAAACTATGCAGCATCGTTTGACTTCCTTTTTGTGCGTTTTTGTTTTTGTTTTTTCGAATTCTTGAACTTCCACAAATTAACGTCCTCTTCATTTAGTTGAGTAGCTACACTTTTTCAGGATATTTATTTTATAGAAATATTGTTTTGCAGGTTGTATGAATTTCTCTGGTCAAGCGATCATAAGAGGAAAGTTCAGCTTTGGTTTCACAACTTGCAATTTACAGGGGGCGTTTTTGCGTAAGCCTATTTGCAAGAGAGACGAATTTGACATTATATAGAAATAGTATTTCACACTTCCATTCAATAAGAGATATGGAGCCTCTGTGGAAGCTTGCATATTTGTTGGAACCGGCTCCTGCAACTCTGGTTTTGACAGCTATAGCTGTGACATTTGGTTCTGCATTTCGAGCTTTAAACTATGGGAAAGAAATGGAGCGAAACCGTGACTTTTCGGAAGCATCCATTACTTTAGATAGGACCCAAGCACTAATGATACCCATCATGAGCTCTTTCAGCCTGCTTTTGATGTTCTACTTATTCCCTTCTGTCTCACAAATCCTCACTGCTTTCACTGCAGTTGCCTCTGTGTCATCCCTTTACTTCTGCCTATCACCATACATTGCCCATGTCAAGTCACAATTTGGTTTGGTAGACCCATTTGTGTCTCGATGTTGTTCCAAGTCGTTTACTCGAATACAAGGGTTTCTACTGTTGTTCTGCTCTGGTATAGTGGTGGCATGGCTAATTTCTGGGCATTGGATACTGAACAACATGTTGGGAATCTCTCTATGTATTGCATTTGTGAGCCATGTGCGTCTTCCCAACATCAAAATATGTGCCATGCTCCTTGTTTGTTTGTTCGTGTATGACATATTTTGGGTATTCTATTCCGAGAGGTTTTTCGGTGCAAATGTTATGGTCTCTGTAGCAACACAGCAAGCATCTAATCCTATTCATACAGTGGCTAATAGTTTAAGTCTTCCTGGATTGCAAATGATTGCCAAAAAGCTGGAGCTGCCAGTTAAGATTGTGTTTCCCAGGAACTTGTTGGGTGGTGTGATTCCAGGAAATAAAGTTGCTGAGTTCATGATGCTTGGTCTTGGCGACATGGTAAATCTAAAATTATGGAAAGTTGGAATTTTACAATTCTTATTGTTTGAAACTTTGGTGCAGTGGCGTGTTTCATGATTTATTATGCATGCATCTCTCTGTAAATGGAGCATAGGATTATCATATAACAATGAAGGTTAATAAAAGCGTGCATAAGGGCTTCCCAGGGCTTTATAAATGTCCCATTCTTGCTAATAGAATGTTTATTCATTTAATTACTTATGCCTGATATAAAGGTTTCAGATATGAAGACTACTGCATTCACTTGTGGTTTGAAAGTTTGGGCATGTTCTAGGGAAATCTGGCTATCTTGCATGTGTTCATACTTCATACTCATATTCGTATGTCGTTGTGATGCCTGGGTGCTTGTAAGTGAGTGGAGGTGGGAGTCTGGAAGTGGGGTACTCCATTTACCTTCTGCTCCACATGCCTTCTGATTTCCTCAGTTTAATTATGCTTTGATACTACTTACTTTGTTGATATGTCCATACTGAATAGCAACATCGTAATTTGGGGATATATTTGGTTGAAATTTTCGAAACAGATGTATTTTTTACACGTTTATGTTCTACATGTCCTATCCTTTGCTTTTTTCAACTTCTGCTTTGATGTGTTTACTAACTATTGGAAAAAGCAACGGTTTATTGCCTTTTGTACTGTGATTCATTTCATTGATGCTTATTAATGTGTAGTACATGCTTTTTGGGACCTTACTGCATGTTGATTGTTGGTGAGTTGTATACTTGTTATTCTCCGGTATTGAACAACTGATTTCTTCTGCACGTATTTGGCTTGTTTCACATGCAGATTCTTAATTTTTAGCTGTTTAGTGCTGCCTGAACACTCTTATATTCAAAACATGAACCCAAGATAGTTTACAATGACAGCAGGATTTAGAAGCCAATTGCAGATAATGGAGACAATGCATTCTTGAGTTGAATAGAGATGAAATTGGTTTATTAGTCAGTACTTGGTATATATATTATGTATCAGGTAATCTATGTGAATTTTCCTGAGGACATAATCGTTTGATACTTGTGCTCATTGTGTGAGTTCTTCTCAATTGATAAAGCGGATGACAAACTTTTAAGCTTTTGTAATTGTATTGTGTTGGTTATGCAGGCCATTCCTTCTATGCTTCTGGCATTAGTTCTCTCTTTTGATCACAGAAGGAGCAAGGATTCTGTGAATCCATTGGATATTCCTTCTTCTAAGGGGCACAAATACATTTGGTATGCCCTTTCTGGATATGCAATTGGACTGGTAACTGCTTTAGGAGCTGGCATTTTGACACACTCGCCTCAACCAGCACTTTTATATCTGGTATGTATGATGATATTAAATTGTAATATTGTTATCTCCGGTACGAATCTGCACTAATTCGTACTCGTCATTTCAGTTCAGATCTATCTTCATTCCATGTGCATAGTCATGTGAGAGTGAGCAAGAGTGTGTTTTTTAAAAAGAAGAAAAACAGTTATTGACTTCTGATTCTTCCATTTAAAAATAAAAACAGTTATTGACTTTTGGAATTTTAGGGGGAATTAAAAATCATTGCATAGATCTCTCTAATTCATCCATGTACTCGTTTGGAAAATGGGGGCATGCTTGGGAACCTGAGGAATTGGGTCATTGATTTTTGAAGCATTGTGTAAATGTGAAAGGCAGTTCTTTGATTTGAATGTAGTCCTTTTCTTTTACTTAATTCTTGTCATTATTTTTGTTTAGGTCTAGCACCATTACACCACCTTTGTCTCTGATTTTTCTGTTCATTATCCATTGAATATAGGTACCCTCTACTTTGGGACCTGTAATAGTCATATCTTGGATGAGAAAGGAGCTAACAGATCTGTGGGAAGGAACAACACCAAACATAAATGAGAAGGCTCATTCGACAGAGGTTTGAGCTCCTGGTGTTCATGCCCCTGCACCACATCAGCCCTTGCAGTGCCATATAGAAATAGATCACATAATTCAGCTGGGTGATTCTAACCATTGTCGACTGTCGTTAATCGTAATTACTATTTGTTTAAAGGTTGGCATGGCTGCAAAATGTTTTGATTTGAAAAAGTTCCAATCACAATTATCATATATAAAATGCAAGCCTATTGTTTTATTTTGGACCATTGCATTGCATCTCTAGGTGATTCTGATTAGTTGTGAATACTGATGTATGTTTTCCGTGACCCTCCACTTGCAGAGAAAGGGGCAATCCACGAAATATAGGTTTTTTTCTTCATCATAGGGATGTTTATCGATGGCACTACGTCATCATTGATACGTGGTGTTACTATCGAATAAAAAAACTACAAATGAGCAACGAATAGCTCATTTGAGTGGTTATTAAATAACATGACAAGGTGGTTATTAGAATATGTGGAATCTATTTGTTTATTTATTATACTTTTATTAGATAGTGATAGCATGTGATAATTATGAAATGGTATCACCATTTCAATCAATATTTTTTTCCTCCCCCAGGGTAGACCGTGGACCAGATGGGTAGCCCTGCCTGAAATTTTGTGGCTGGCCTAATTTTGGCCCATGCACAGGGTTTGGTCCAAAAGATGCCCTAGTTTTTTAACTGGCTACGGCTAAAGCTAGAGGTTCTGACCCGTGAATCAGCATCGACTGTCTCAAAAATTTTGGGGTCGTATGGTAATGTTTTTGTTTACGTGTCTTAAAAATAATCAAAAAAAGAGATAATTTTTATCTCTGTTTTGTGATAAACATTGAAACAGAAAATATGTTTGGGTGTCATTTTTGTCAATCAAATTATGAGAATAAAAAATAAAATATGTTTGGTAATTACTTAACATTTTATCTTAAATATGTTTTACAATATATCATACAATAAAATACAAATCTAAAAATTCCTTAAAAAAAAAATTTGGGACTAAATGACAATTCAATCTCAAATATTTTTGTACAATCCCAAATGGTAATCCAATAAATTTCAAATGGAAATTTAATCCCAAATAACAATTCAATTAATCCTAAATTACAATTCACTCAATCCCAAATGATAATTAATTTCCAAATGATAATTTATTTCCAAAATAGTAATTTTATCAATCTTAAATAGAAATTCAAACACACACGCACGCACAGATCTGTGCATCACACAACACATACACACACAGTCGTCACTCTCACACAGATATGTACATATGTACAACTATGCACAGACACACACACGATTTGCACAGCTCTGTGCATCACATAATACAACACACACACACAGTCGTCACTCTCACACAGATCTGTGTCTTCGTTTCACAGATAGCGAGAGAGAAAGAGAGAGGGAGGGAGCATCATCTTCTTCCACAGTGACAAATAGATCTTCTTCTTCCACACCATCCAACCACATAGATCGTCTTCTTCCACGCCTTCGGTTCTCTTTGTTTGTATACACAAAAAGAGAAAGAGAGAGAGAGATAGAATGGGGTGAAAAGAGGTTGAAGTCTTCTTTTATACTTTCACGAAAAATAACACATTTTTGTTGATAATGAGGGTCGAATTCGAGATCTCATTAAAATCTTCAACTGAGTTGCGCGCGTGTTTTGTGTTTCAGGTGTTTTTTGAAACACAATTTTTTTTTCTTTGTTCTCATTTTTTTCAAGACAACTAATATAAAACAAAAATAAAAACAATACCAAAACATATATTTTTTTTTGACAAAAATTAAAAACAAAAATACAAGACAAAGACAGTTACCAAAACAGGCCCTTTGTTTTTTCGGAAATTGTCTCAAAAATTAATTTGTATGCATAATAGGTAATATATTAGTTTTACCAACTTTGTATAGTATTTAATAATTTTGAAGTGTGAAATAAACAAGAAATGACATTTATCTTGTGGGAAAATTAATAATTTGGGCCATAATATTTGCCCCTGGGGCCCGCCTGATACAGACACAATAAGTTGTTTTTTTTCTCTTATGATTGTGAGTGAGATTCTCTACGGTACGTTTTTTTTTGACACATCATCTACCATTCATTTAAGTGGGATCTATTATATACAAGTACGTCTTTTACTCATTAATGATAATGATGTATCAAGAAGGAAAAATATATTAGAGATGATTTAAATCCCTACAACCTGAAGGAGTAGGCTACATAGATGAATGTAAGATGGACTAAATAACGTTTGCAAATATTTGAGCGCGGAAATCGAGTTCTTATCCACCGGGCCAACAACTAATTGGTATTATCATAAATTGTCTACTACAAAGATGAATGTAGATGGAATGAATAACGTTTGCAAACATTATGGTGTAGCGGACAATTTATGATAACATCAGGTCTAGTGAGTAAGAATTTAGATTTTCTTGCTTAATGTTTGAATTCAAGTTTTTATAGTTACGACAGTTCGTTGGCCCTAAATCTATTCTTCAATGCCTAAAGTACGCAGCCTAAAGTACGCAATGAGATCTTAGTTTCGATTTCGACGTAGGTGTGGTGGAGTTTCCCTGCATATAGTTGTGTGATGTTAAGTGACAATGTTCCCTGGCCGATAAGTATTGAATTCAGACTCTTATATGATTTATTATTAATTTTTTGAATTATTTTTTAAAATGACAAAAAATATATTTTGAAGGCCTAAACGATAGAGTTCAGCACAAAACTCACAAAGCTCATCGCATAATAATAAGTATTGATCGTTGGCCTGATCTGGATCAAATACCACTGGTCTCAATCCATTCCGAGTCTGAGCCATTTCAGTCACCTATTTGGCTATTTTACATCATCCTCAATTATTTAAAAATTAAAATAAATTAAAATAAATTGTACAAAAATTATCAAAAGATAAAAAATTACAATCCAACTTATTAAAATAAAAGCACGTTTTGTATGGAGTCTACAAAAATTGGCAACTTTAAATTCAGACTGTCGTATGATTTATTATTAATTTTTCAAATTCTTTCATAAAATGATAAAAAATAAATTTTGAGGATCTAAACGATAGAATTCGGCACAAAACTCACAGAGCTCATGGTATAACAATGAATATTGATCGTTGGCCTGATCCAGATCAAATACTACTGGTCTCAATCCATTTTGAGTTTGAGCAATTTTAGTCACCTATGTTACATCATCTCTAGTTATTAAAAAATTATAAAAAAATAAAAAATTACTTGAAAATTATCAAAAAAAATAGAAAATTGTAATCTACATTTTTAAAATAAAAACACGTTTTGTCTGAAGTTTAAAAAAATTAGCGGCGCTGAATTTAGACCCTTCGAGCAATTTCAACCACCTATTATACATCATCTCCAATTATTTGAAAATTATCAAAAAAATAGAAAATTACAATGTAATTGATCAAAATAAAAGTATGTTTCGTCTAAAGTTTAGTAAAATTTTTAGTTCAGAATTCGAACTCTTCGATAATTTATTATTAATTTTTAAATAAAAAAAATGAAATTTTGAGAGCTTAAAGAATAGAATTGAACTCCAATACGACTCATATAGGGCTTCACTAGTCTAAACGACAATTGAAAAAGATTATTAAGAATCCAATTGTTTTTTTTTTCGAAAAAAACGATTACACAACACACACATGACCACATCAATACCGTCACTTAAAAGTGATAGTGATGAACAGTCTTATACACATACAGCTCCAAGACTATCCGACGTGGGATAGTCTCTCGCCCTTTAGTCCTCATTCACGGATTGGACCCACACAAAACTCGTGGGGTTGACACACAGCACACAAATTCTCGATACTTGCTTTTTTCGAAAGAAACAATTCCGCAGCACACACAGCACCGCATCAATTGTGTGCGTGATTATTAAGGATCAAGTTCCTGGTACTTGATTATTAAGGGATCCAATTGTTTAAAAGGTGAAAGTTTCACACTTAATAATTGTTATACTTATAAAAAATTCTAATAACAAAACCCTAAACCAATAATAATAACACTAACAACTGCGACGTCGTATTTGCCTACTAAAACCCTGCGGTGGTTTACTGTTTACCATTGTCGTTCTGAACATTCTGCAAGCAAGTGAAAAGGCACGGCAACCTAGAGAGAGAGATGGGAACATCGGTGCAGGTGAAGCCACTGTGTGGAGTATACAATGAGAATCCGCTCTCATACTTGGTCTCCATCGACGGCTTCAACTTCCTTATCGATTGTGGATGGAACGATCACTTCGATCCTTCTCTGCTCCAACCCCTCTCCAGGTCCCTCTTTCTCTACCCTCTCTACGTTGTTGCTCTCAACAATTCGTTTTACATTGTGCACTTCAATTTTCCACTGTTTGGTGGCTGAGAAAAATTACAAGAAAATGAAAAAAAAAAGCCTAGACTATTTTCACTTCTGTGATTTCTTCAGTTTTCCTGTTTAATAAAACGAAAAATTCAAGAAAAATCGTGTCTAGGGTTTTGAGTTGTACTACAGCTAGAGTCCTAACACGCACAAACACACAGACACGCAATGTAGAATATGCTGTCAACATAAAATCTTTTGAAAAGAGGAATTTATGTAGCCAACCCTAAATTAGTTGGGATTAACCGATTATGACCATTTTGGATTGAGTTGAGTTGATGAAGATGTACACATGAATTTTTTTTTCTAATCCCTTTTTCTACACCTGCCTCAGAAAAAATCATTCTTCTCGTTCAGTAGCATATTAAGTAGTATGAAGTAGTCTTTCATATTGTAAACGATTGCAGCTACACATTTCCTGGGCAGACTCAAGTTGAATGAGTTATACTGACAAATTTTCCCCCAGCCTCTCTTCAGCACATTTTATGGATGTCATCATTATGACCTAGTAGAGGTGCTAAGACCTAGGGAATAGATTCAAGGCTTTTTGTGCTCCAAATTAAGGTTCTTTTAGTTTGTTAGTGATCTCTTCGATACAATGTTCCATGGAAAATTTCGAAAATGCTATCTGTGGTTTTGAGATTTCATCCAGGCGCCTCATTATTATGTTTGGAGTTTTTATGTCAAAAAGTTTGCACTGTTGTTCAGGGTGGCTTCAACGGTGGATGCTATCTTGCTATCGCATCCGGATACACTTCATCTTGGAGCTTTACCATATGCCATGAAGCAATTTGGACTCTGTGCTCCTGTTTATGCAACAGAACCTGTGTATAGATTGGGCCTACTGACTATGTATGACCACTATCTCTCACGCAAGGTGCAACTTTATTCTGGGAATTTGAGCTTTATTATGAAGCACATTCATCTGCTTAATGAAAGGATTGAATTTTCTTGAGGGATACTAATGCTGTCATTATCGGGATAAATGGAATCACAAGTAATGTTATCAACCATTGTTTTAGAAGTGAGTTCTTATTTTTCTTTTTCTGAATTGAAAAATTAGCCAAATTCATTTTAAGTTTGTGGTGAGTCGAGGGAAATTATCTTTGCTGTTTTGAAACATTTAATGCTTATTTCAGTTATTTGAAACTAATTCTCTTGATATTACAACAAATACAATTATTTTTTAAGCTGGTTTCTTGTTTACTGAATATGATTACATCAAATTCATCTTCGTACAGATCTCATTATAGATTCTGGATCATGAATCGGAAAAATGATTTGGCTAACCCAGAATTTCAGTAAAAATTGAAGTGGTGGGTTTGGCGAACTTGAAAGAAGACAGAGTATATTTAGAGTCTTTGAATATTGAATGAGTAATGTAATCAAAACATATATATCATCTATAGTGTTTTCGCTGTACTATGACTAAGGAATCACATTATATTGAAAGGAAATTATTACAATAAGCTGTAGCTATCTTTTGGTTTGGGGATCCTTTGCCAGTTGACTTAATCTAAATGAAAGAGTTGGGTTCAGCCCCACCTCGAGCCTTCCTTTTTTTGATGACATGGTCATTTTTTTTCCAACTCATGTGATTAACTTAAATTTTTTCTTATTTAAAGCACCAACTGTTGATTCATACATGAACTCATATTCATACACAAGAATTGTGGACCATGAACTGGAGTATTACTTCAACCAAAAACATTTAATGATCTGGGTAAGTCCTGAACCTGCGTCAAAAGGGTGGCTTGGTTCTAATTGCGCCTTTAAGGTTCCTCTCTGCCATCCCAAGATCCTTGAGATTGAATGTATATTACTTGACCTTCTTTTTCTCCTTAAATTCATTGAGACTTATAATTCATAGGTTTGGCAATGAATTTTTCTCTAGCTTTTTGGATGGCCTCCCACTGTATTAAAATGAAAGAGAGAAGGGAAATGTAGGCTGATGTTTTCCGTCATCATGCCATCTTTTATCCTGGTCCAGATTTTTTGGATCTTGCGCTTAAGTTTTATGCTAAACTTACCTAGTTTTTTTAGGGTTCTGTTTCTATTGTGCTGACATTTCTAACTAAGTCCCTCCCTTTGCAGCAAGTATCAGAGTTTGATTTGTTCACATTGGACGATATTGATTCTGCCTTCCAGAATGTGACAAGATTAACGTACTCTCAGAATTATCATATGTCTGGTAGGCATTTTTATTCAAGATATCTTTTGTGGATTATTAAATACATAAGATATTGGCCTCGTTTGGGGTTACTTTTTCCATTGCGTAGGGCGGTAGGGGTTAATGTAGTGGATGGAAGAATCTGGATCTGAAAGTGTGCTTATTTTTTTATATACATGTGGCTTACAAAGAAATTAGTGACATTGGGCTCAAATGTTGTTGTTTCATGACGCGTTGAAAGTGGATCAAGTAAAAAGTAAAAGGGGCAGGCCAATGTTTTCCTTGACTTTTCCTGTTTTCATCCAATTCCCACTTGGTTTGATCTTAGTGTTTCTGGCTTTGAGTGCATTTAATCACCACCATAGTTCTACAAACGGTCATTTTGTTCAAAATTGTGGATTACATGGATCATGGGTGGATTGATTTAAATGTATATCTTGTTTTCAGAGCATACAGGCTACTATGATCATATTTACATTTTGATTTTTGAAATCTCTGAACAAATGCTAGGGAAGGGAGAAGGCATTGTTATTGCTCCTCACGTAGCTGGTCATCTATTAGGAGGTACAGTTTGGAAGATTACAAAAGATGGTGAAGATGTTATTTATGCTGTTGACTTTAACCATCGAAAGGAAAGGTCGGGTCTCCTGCCTCCAAACTGCACTCAAATGGAACCCACTTGTATGCATACTTTTGTATTAATGTTGGGAAAATTAAAAGGTTTGCTTTGTTTTGTGGTTTTTATCAGGCATTTGAATGGAACTGTTTTAGAATCTTTTGTGCGGCCTGCTGTTCTAATAACAGATGCCTATAATGCTTTAAATAATCAGCCTTCTAGACGTCAAAGGGACCAGGAATTTTTAGGTGATTCTTTTTTTCCCTCTTCTTTCGAGTTGAATATAACTAAATCTTAGTGCGTGATATGTTGTTACCTTTACTTATTTCTTCTTGTTGCATCACAAAAACCTCTAGACATGTAAGCCTCTGTATAGACTTTAGCTGCTCATCCACTCCAAACATTTCAAAGCCCTGCATATTATGATTTCCTATTTCTATGTGCAAAAATATACTTCTTTCATTCTTTTTTTAGATGCCATACTGAAGACTCTGCGAGTGGATGGAAATGTATTGCTGCCCGTGGATACTGCCGGTCGTGTGTTGGAGCTTCTCTTAATACTGGAGCAGGTCAACTTGCGCATATATGATGAAGTTTTTGTATATTGGGTCATTATCAAATGACAGAATGATTGATCCTTGTTGAAAATTGCAGTACTGGGCACAGAATCATTTGACCTATCCTATCTTCTTTCTCACGTATGTTGGGTCGAGCACAATTGATTATGTCAAGAGTTTCCTTGAGTGGATGAGTGATTCAATAGCAAAGTCATTTGAGCACACTCGTGATAATGCTTTTCTTTTGAAGTAAGTTTTTTATGTCCCACCCTCCCCTCCCTCCCATCTCCCCGGTAAGGGGTTGGATGGATAAATTTTCTGATTTATCTTAGAGTCTTTTGTTGAGTTGTATCCAATTTGTTTCTCTCTTTCCACTGCCTTGAATTATCGCTGCTCTTGTTTGCTTAGTTGAATTTACTGGAGTGAGATACATCTGCAGGCATGTCACTCTTTTGGTCAGCAAAGGCGAGCTTGAAAAAGTTCCAGATGGCCCAAAGGTTAGAATAAATATTTGTTCTGAAGGTTATATCTGTTGAACTATTTATCCTGGCAATGACATGAGGTCTCATGTAGATTGTTCTAGCGTCTATGGCAAGTTTAGAAGCAGGCTTTTCACATGACATCTTTGTTGAATGGGCTTCTGATGCGAAGAATCTTGTGCTGTTTACAGAAAGAGGCCAGGTATGCACTAGATTGCTGATTTAACAATCCCATTCGAGTTTTTGAAGATGCCTTTGTTTTTCCTAGTTTTACTATCAAGAAATGACATAATCACATGAGAGCTCCCAAGTTGAGTGCCATGTTGGAGACACATTACTGTAAGGACGAAACTTAGTAATTTTTTTGTTTTATTCTGCTGCAAGTGAATGGGAAATAGTTAATACTGTGTAGTCAAGAGTTTCACCCGTGTTTGATGGTGCAGCAGGAATCCATCTGTGGTGAAGTAGCTTAGGATCTTGCAGTGCACTTGTTTTGAATTTCATTTCCCTTTCTTTCTCTTCTTTAAGTTTGGAGCATTGATAGACCGCTGGAAAATTTACTAGCATTTTGAGGGTTTAGAGACTGCAGCTTTTTAATAATGGCCTTCTGGATTGTTAATTGTTGACCCTCCAGAATTTCCTTGCCAACTCCAGTCATTCTTTAGTCTCAAGATAATTTATTCATATAATGGCAATTTGTGTATAACGTTCTGATGGTGCCAATTGATGATTATATCTGTTCGTGGAGCACACACTTATATATTTGTGGATTCCAACTTTTAAGCTCTGTTTAACCCCTTTTTGTTCCTTTTTATCAAAATACTTGGAGAATCTCTTTGCTAACTTGTTTTTCTTACATAGTCCACAACTTTGTTGGAAAATTATGTTGACCTTGTTTCATTCATTTTTGCCCTCCTAGAGAATGATGTCTCACAGAACTCAGCTCTTGTCTACATCTTTGTTTCCATGCATACTGTATTCCATATAACCATCATCAATCATGTTTGCTTTATTAGCAGAAATAGTGCAACTAGATCCCTTTAAGTGCATCTTCTTTTGTGTGTTTTGTAACATGTTGAAACCGATTCCTTGAATTGTAAATGTAGTTTGCCACACTAGCACGCATGCTTCAGTCAGATCCGCCTCCCAAAGCTGTTAAAGTTACCATGTCCAAGAGGATTCCCTTGGTTGGAGATGAGTTAGCTGCTTATGAAGAAGAGCAAAACCGAATAAAAAAGGAGGAAGCTCTCAAAGCTACTCTTATCAAAGAGGAGGAGTTGAAGGCATCTCTTGGAGCTGAGCTTCCTATTGGTGATCCAATGGTCATTGATGTTAGCAATGCCAACGTTTCATCAGATGGTATTGCTCTTAATTTTGTTGTTACGTGCAAACAAAATTACGCTGGCCGCACTTTTTCCCTCCAAAGCTGAGAAAAAAACAATGAAGTCCTGCTTCTATATCTTTTACTCTTCTGTCCTTGTAAATTCTTGTAATTTTTGTCCTCCAACGAGTTCAGATGTTCAAAATGATTATTTTTTCTCAAGACAATCTTTGAAAATTGAAGCAATAGAAACAATACAGAAGAGAAACTAGAAATGGATTTTATAACTTATTGATTGTCTACCTTAGCCCACTGCAACATCTGAGTTTAATCCCATACCCAAGAAATTTTTTATTACTGAACTGTGTTTTTCTTTGATTTCCTGCACAGTAACAAAATTTATTCCAGTATACTTACTATCCCAATTGATTTCAACTCTTCAACCAGAAAGAAATTGGGTCGAAAAGATACTTTTATGCTAGCAGTAGTCCTTTGAAACTAAAGATGTTATGCTTCAATTTGTTACAGAACCTAAGTTTAATATTACCATCAGGATGCCCATGTGAAGTTAGTACTGAATGATGCAGCAACCCATGTAACAATCTCTATGCTTTCCTAGCGGCCTCTCTCTCTCCACCTCCCACTAGGTGTGTCTGTATCTGCTAAGAGCTTTTCTTTATTATTCCCTTGTCTTAATCTAATAGTTTTTTTTTATCTCCAATAAACAGAAAAAGCAAGCCATATGATTTTGTGTAGTGAGGCACAACTATGAATCCACATTCATTCACATGCAACCCCCCATCCCCGCATGCGTGTATTACCATAGAATCCCCAAGTTGCAACAAATTCTTAAGACAACTTATGCTATATCACTTCTCAAAATTCACTCTTCCAAACAACCCCCCCCCCCCCCCCCCC